GGCGCCGCGTTGTGGCCCAAATTCGCCCTACTTAGCCGTTCGCTCGTCTTGCGAAGTGTGTCTCGCAAGTGCAAGACAGCGACGACTCTAACATCCGTCTCGAGATAAATACTTTTTTTCTTTATGGTTTCGCTAGCTCTCCAAAGTCAGGGATATTCGGACAAAGATGAGGATGCAATATTGTTTAAATTGTCTTTTCGCGCACAGCTGCACTGTCGCATACACTCCTTGAACTCAGGTTACCGGCTGCTGGAAGCATGCCGCACCTGTTCTAATTCATCCGAATGAAGTTAATGACAAGGCGCGTACAGCCTGATCACAACACTGCGTCAAGTTCTAATAAAAAACCGAAACGGTACGTCAATAAGGCCGCCGCTTTTATTTTGAACGGGTCCAACAACAAAATAATAATAAAAAAAAACCTTGCTGCGTTTGCGGGCATCTGTCGCTGCCGTCAAAACGGTAGAATCGTAATTCATGTACGTGCGTCAAAAACCCACTTTTAATTTTATTAGTGAAGGGAAGGATCTCCAACCAACCTGCATTTGCGCTGTAAAGCGTCCCCTTTTTTAAACTTATTTTTATGTGATAATTTCAAAATGATAATTTCGAACACTGTTCCGGTTCACAGCTAATAAAAAATTTTGCGTCACTATTTGTTTTGTTTGCTGTTTAGGTACAATTAAACTTGATATATCTTGAGTCTGTGTGCCAGGACAGAATCTTCATTATCCCTTCACTCTCTCTCTCTCTCTCTCTCTAAGAAAAGATTATTTGATTTTAAATTCCAGTCAACTGTCATGAATGTTTAGTTACTGGCCTTCGTGACGTGCCCTGTCCTCGTCCTCTTAATTGTGCTTTCAATTTAGACATCTAACATTGCCACACACTCTTATAGGTTGACCGAGGAATGTCCGGGTTTCATGTTTTAGAGTTCCTTGGAAAGTAATTATGCCTGTTGGTGGTTAAGTACATCATTTTAATAATATAAAAAAGAACTAGAGTACAGCCATCAGTGTAAATCTCTTTTCAACTATGCGCTCAGGTCAGTGTGCAATACGGGCTATGATTATCTGCCTCATTGGCCCCCATGTCTTTTGCTGTAAGCATCAGGGAACAAAATTGACGGAAATTAATGTGAGAGCGCAGGCGAGCTGGTGTGTATATTAACAATTTGGATGAATTTCCCGAGACTGTGGCGAAAAAAACTAAAAATATCAACCGTGTGAGAGATACCTCTTTCTGTGGGAAGTAATTATACCTGTTGTGGGCTAACTACATCATTTTAATAATATATAGAAAAACTAGAATACAGCCGTCAATTTTTTTTTTTCAATTATGCGTTCAAGTCGGTACGCAATAGGGGCTATGATTATCTGCGTAATTTTTCCCCAAGTCTGTTGCCGCTTACCCGCTTTCTTATTAACATAAGGGAACAAAATGGGCGGGTAAGCAAAGTGAGCTTGGTTATCAAATTTAAAGCCTTTTATAAAAGAGATGGTAACTGCATATTTGAGTTTCATTTGTAGACAGCCATGGGGAACCATCGTAGTTATTACATTAGGGACTTATCGTAGAACGTCAGTGTCGGATTGCGGGCCCTAAGAGCAACAGCTATACCGCCCCCAATCAACGCAAAACCCCTGCATGCTCTCGCGTGTGACCTACGAAAAGCTCCTAAATGTGACAAGCAAGCGTAGCTGCATTACTGAATCACGCTACAAGATAGAGAAACAATAATTAAGCCTGTTCTTCGCACAGCTGGCGATTCATGCTTCTGGCGATCTTTCTTGAATCACCTCCCAGGAACCAAACAAAACTTTTCGTTGATTGTTGAATACGATGTTGTGACATGCGGGTAGCCTTTGCATCGGGTACATTACTTCACGAAGCGCGAATCCAGCCTGACAAGCGCACCAGCCTCCCGCGTCGTCTGCTCCTCGTACTTCTAAGAAGTGTCGGCGCGCCTCGCCAGGGGGAAGAGTGGCGCTGCGTAGGCGCGGCGAATCAGTCCTCCTGAGTGGCCGTCACTGTTCGCCGCGTCAAGGACACATTCGAACCATTTCACTCCTCGTGACACAGGGTTCGCTGCTCGCTTTACTGTCACGGGCCGTCCTATCTAACACAACGAGCGCGAAAGGTCGTGGTCATCTGCTGGTTCCGAAAGGGCGGGACGTTCATATAAGCCAATGAGGGCCCCGAATCAATACGACGTCTGCCAATTTCTACACATTAAAAATTTGCGACGCCTGGTGGTCTGTTAAGAAGTGTTGCTTTCTCTTTTGAACTCGTCCAATGTAACTTGCCGCCTACAATAAAATATAATTGAGCAATAAGTATAAAAGGGTGGAACTACTTCATTTTTATGTGGGAACGTTGAAAAAAAGGCAACAATAATTCCAAGCTTATGAAGACGCGCAATTCGCAAGTTCGTTTCGAGACGTAAAAACACGTTTTTCTACGATATTTATGCTTAAATATAGAACATACAAACAAACTACAGACTTTCTCGACTCGCTTTTCGAGTAGAGAACTGTCATACCTACACTGTAACAACAAAAAAAAATAATAATAAATAAATAAAAATGTATTTTTTGAGAAAATTGATTTCAAAATCGGTACTTTATGGTTTTAGCCTAACATTAACGTAAACGTGCCGCAAAGGGAGTTTCATACAGCTGGGTCATTTTATAATATATATAAAGAGTGTGCTTTGGGCTCTCCATAGACATAAAAAAATATCGACATAACCCCAGTAGATGACCAGTATTTAATTGTGAAAGTTCATCAACAATTAACCAAAAAAGCGTTTTTGACAATTTTACAAAAAAAAAAAAAAAAAAGCAAAACGCCAAAATTTTTTTTATGACAGAGTGCTTGAAAAAAGTTAATATAATATGGACTTAAAATCCACGGTGGGAAATCGAGCGAAACATCCGACCCACGACATATGTGAAAAACACTGCTTTCCGCCGCCGGCGCCCTTTAAAATTCTTAGGTCGACAACGAAAAATCCAACGAACTTTCGGTTTGTGGCTGCTGCGTTTTGAGAGACGACGCATTAACAAATATTTCTTTTTTTCAGCAAAAATAAAAATTCGACCCTTTTTACCTGCACGATTTGAGATGAAATCACCCATATATATATACAGGTTTTTTTTTTTTTTTTTAAAGCTTAACATATTTTTTTTTTTTTTTTTTAAACCATGAAAGCTAGATTAATGCGGTCTGCGCAGGCGAGTTATACGGCCAGGGGGACATAATATAGGAGGCTAATCGTAACGATCAGTCGGCTTAAAATTCGTTCATAAACTTTCTAATTAATGAAAATAGACATATAGTTCCAGTTAGAAACTTGCTTAGCGTCATCGAAAACCACTAGATCAGTAATTTTCAGAAAGACTTTAAGCGCGTGAGAAGCGTAGTAGTGCACTAAAGTTACCAGTCGTGGAGCATGTACATAGCGGTCGCGGTAAGGCGCCCGCGCAATTTTTCCGTCTCTTATCTAGCCCCAGCAATGTACCTGCTCCGAGAGCGGTAACTTTAATGCACTACTACGCTTCTCACGCGTTCAAAGTCTTTCGGAAAATTACTGATCCAGTGGATTCCGATGACGCTGAGCAAGTTTCTAATTGGAACTATACGTGTCCTTTCATTAATTAAAAAGTTAATTAACAAATTTTAACTAATTAGCCGACTGATCGTTACAATTAGTTCCCTATACTATGTCTCCCAGGCCGTATAACTCACCTGCACAGACCGCATTAACCTAGCTTTCATGGTTTTTAAAAAAATCTGTTAAGTTGTTAACTGTTAAGATGTTAACTTATCACTCTATTGAGAGTCTCAAATTACAACGGTACTTTAGTAAAGAGTATTATACAACGTAAACCGCTCTAATAACTTGCAACGTGCGAGTTCCCATACCTTCTGCGGCATACATTTGCCACCATCGAAACTGTTTTTCTCCGCAAGGCTTGTAAAGAAGAACAAGTTCGATTTTGCAAAATGTATGCTGCAGAAGGTACAGGCACAGGAGCGTGGTAATGAGCAATGGCGGCTGGTACGGTGCCATATGACGTCACATGCAAGACATGTATACGTACTCGGTCGCTTCCAAGTCAGCCGTCGTTGCTAAAATGAGACGGCCCGCACGGCTCTAGCAAAGCCGCGCACGTGAAAGCTAATCGCCGCGGCGTTCTTCGTGCTTCGAGGATGCAGGAGTGAGCAGACGTTCAGGAAGATACGTTTGAACTACAAGAGTGTCAGCAAGAGCCACGTATATACCTGTTCACATTGGGAGCGCAACCGCGCTGGCATCGCGCTGTTGGACTGCGTCTTGGTAACCGTTTCGGGAACGATCTTTTACAACCGATTAGATAAGTTGCTGGGCCATTAACCAATCTCAACTCGATCCTGACATGAAGGTTGGACCGGCATCGCGTGGCTCATAAAAACTGCTCTAGCTCGACATGTGTCGGCGTACTGTCATGTCGGAATAAAAGGGGCATACTGAAAACAAGGTACGTATACACACGTTGCGAAGGCTATCCGTGCGGCGTTTATTTGAGCTTACAATGCACAAAAAAAGGAGAATCGAGGAGAGTGCCTCTGAAAACAAGGGCACGACGACGAGGGGAAAAGACAGGCTCAATAGATGCCAAGGTTCAAAGTATTTATACGGGGAAGGGACCACAAAGGTCGGCATATCACATTCAGCAAGCCAGCCGGTCGTGGGCAGACGGTCAGGGTCGTCAGAGCAACGTTGCGTCGGAACGCCTTGGAGGTCGCTTGGTCGGTGGGATCGTTGCCGCTCTAGCTTTTCCGGGTATCCGTGGTTCCGGCGGCCGTCTCCGCGGCGTTTAGTTTCGAGCAATTATTTATTTTTCTCAGGCCGCTTGAAGTCGAGACGAGCGCGGAGAGCGCGTAGAAAAATGAATGCCCGTTGGTCGTCGCGACGAATAAATGAATAAAACCTCGCTCCGTGCTACTGTTTGCAGGCGATCAATCTGGGCAAGCCTGCAAACAAGGGGATTCAGGCCAACGACGACGGCATCAATGTCACGATAGGAACTGACGCCTATGCATACGACACCGAGAAGAGTATGGAGAAAAAAGTGAGTAATGGGAAACAAAGATTTCGACCAATACCCCTGTCAGACGGGCACGTTAAAGGCCTTCCGAACCAACTCCTTCAGAGAATCGGCGAATCAGCTCGCGATCTCGCTCTTATCGGCATGCGCTGGTTCTCTCTCTCTCTCTCTGTGCTCGTCAGGCCCGGATGTAAGGCATTTGACTTGGTTCGACTACGTCGCGCGGGGGCTGCTGACAGTGCAGTGCGATCTACGAGCTCGCCGGACCGATCAACCCCATCCCTTTCATATATATTAATAAGGGCGCTAAAATAGACGACGACACAAGGAACATATATAGTGAGTGCACCGCTCTTTAGACGACGTTATAGGCATGAGCGTGATCACGTGGTGAAAGATAGACGTAGGGTTGGTCCAACGCCGCATCCACCGCACTGTGCGCTAGGGCGTCGACCACTGGCGCCACTGTCCGGCGTTCCGCAGTGACCAGGGCACAGTATACAGTTTTGTAGGAACATTGGCAACCAAGGACAGTTGTGCGTTGTTGGGTTTTCAGGTCACAAAGCATGACCGGTGCCCCGAAGACTCCTTTTGGAAAATACCAGGGTTCAACTAGTCCACTTATAACTCCGGAGGCCGAAACTGAACCTCAATGCTACAGTGAACTAGAATATAGGGGCAGTGGAAAAAGCGTCGGCGGCGCCCCATCGGCCGTGTGAAGCCAGAAGTGTAGACTGCCGCGAGTGGCGCTGTTGTCGAAATCCGGAGGACATGGCTACTGTAACACGGGATACGGCGTCGCGTACGTTCTCAAATGGTTTCTGTGCTGTCTATGGTCGTTTTCGCAATTTGTTTTCGTGAATGTCAAGTGGTTGGCATTGTGATTACATAGATTCGAGTCTTGTCGCTAAGCAATGAAAACCAGGAGAAAGAAGACTGGATGCCCACCGCTACGCGCCAGCATGCAAGACTGGTTATCCCGGTTTTCACTACATTGCCCAAGTAAGCTTTCAACATTAATTCATAGACGTTGAAACACCCATAAAGCATACAAGGGCCACACTAATAAACCGCTAAGATCCAAAAACAGCTACGCTTGGCGCGAACTTCGCTGGCAGGAGTGCTCCGGAATCGAACACCAGCGCTGCCTGGTAGGATCTATACAGGAAACGCCTCACCTGGAGGCCGGCCATTTTTCCACTACTGCTATTCTAGTTGAATGCCACGGTGCCACGGAGGCGAGGTCGACAATAAAAGGTTTCCCACGAATAGGCCGATCCTACCAGCCAGTTTGACTACGCCACCGCTGCCGCAATGCCTCGAGGGAACGTTAGTCTTTCAGCACGGGCGACAACACCGTTGGTGGCCTGCGCCTGTGGAGCCAATACCACCAATACCCCTTAGAACACAAAGCCTGCTCATGACGTTTTGTTAGTAAATCCCCGACCCGCTCCAAGCGGAAAACAGGCTGAAACTCAACGCTGAAACTTGACGCGTCGCAACTACGTCGCATTCACAGGCGGCCGCAGCTGTGGGCGCAGCTAACGTTGGGCGCAGCTGCTGAGCGCGAGCTTCCGGTTCATCTGAAATGTGCATGCGAACGAAGGAGGTTAGAAGTACTAGGGGGGGGGGGGGGGGGGGGGGGGGGGGCATGTTGCAATATTGGTGAAGCCTAGTCATAAAAAAGTTTAAACGATATTGTGCCCAGCGTGACCGCAGATCTCTCAGGCGATTGGTGCGAGTGACATGTCACGTGCGACATGGATGGTTGATTGTAGGAGGATTCCTTGCAGGCTTGCGCGCGCTCCGTCCGGTAGGTTTTATCAGATCGAAGGTTAGACGAAGGCTAACAACGGTCACGTGATGTGGTCGTGTTGGGCTGATAAGTGAGGAGAGTAAGAAGGAAAATGAAAAAGAGGCGAGGCGTCAAGGGAGCGTGGCTTGTGGAGGCTACGCGGCTGACGTCATGCCCTCTCCTACCCTTCTATTCTGCATGATGCGAACCAACAACGTTGATGCGAACACTCTCTCGGCCAGGAGCGCGAGCTAGCACGCGCTCCTGCTTTTAAAGGGGTACTCCGCCGATTTTTGAGCTACCTCAACTAACTATATTTTCTGACTCCCAGGCCTTTACCCTTTCTGGAATGCTATTTAATATCGTGAAATTCATAATAGTTATTGCGAAATCGGCAAATGAAAATGATGCAAAAACCAACATTCAAATATACCCGCCCTTTTCAGGGCCGTGACGTCAGTGGAAGTTCAGCTTGCCAGTCGGGCGAGCAGTCTAAAAAATAGAATATGCCAATTATTTGTTCCGTGCTGGAGCGCGGGGTCTGGAGCGGGCTTCCAAGGCATTCATTTGACACCATGAAACTGCTTCAAATCAGTTGGGAACGAATTCTACAGTCCAAAGAGTGAACCCCTGCACTTCCAATGACGTCACTTTTTCATTGTTGCCAGTAGAGACTTTCAGTTTGAAAAACACGGTGACGACCAAAATTGTAAATTCAAGAACTTCGTGAAAAAAAAATTTTTTTTACCTAATATTTGGGATACTATTTTGGCGATGTTGTTTGGCGAGTTTAGCAAAATTTCAAGCAAATCGGGGACCATGAAGAAATCGGCGGAGTACCCCTTTAAGACGCGCATTTCTAGCGCGCGCACTCGTTCTGCGGAAGAACGCTTCGAAGCAGCAACCTCGACCTCTCGTGCTCTTGGTGTTGGCTGCGTTCTCTGAGTATAAACAGCGCCCTCAAAAATGGCGTCCAGTGCCAGGTTCCAGCGAAGAGCTTTGCAGCCCTTCGCACAGCAATAAGGCACTTTCACTCATGCATTTGACGCTCCACGTGAACGTCTAACTTCATCGTGCTATAGCAAGAGAGACACTCGGCCTGAGCATCTGTTTCCTTATTTGCTACACAAACCACTGAAGCAAGCGATGGAGCAGACGATGTCGCAGACGATGTAGCAGCCGATGGCGTTCATCCGGGCTACCTGGGGGGCGCTAAGGGGATCTACTAGTGATGACGTTTAGAGGAGGAAACGCGCAGGCCACGCACGAGACGGCACGAACAGTCGTATGAACGGCCGTCTGCATCCCGTAAGCTAAAGTTATGGCGGCGTCACTCATGAGCCGAACTCTTAGAGGATTCGGTCTATTAAACCTATTTCAAAGAAAAAAAAACTTTTTTTTATCTGACAAACAACGAGTACGAAGTGAAATGTAATGCGCCTGCATGTGTGGTTGGTTCTGATCCTTTGTCCCGTCTGTTTGCGCTGTTTTAACTTTTTTTTTTTCTCGTAGTTTCTTGAGTTAGACGCCCAAGAATATCCAGTTTTATTTCCATCTTTGTATTGAAGCATGTCGTTCTTTGGGTCGCGCAAAGCCCTACACTGTGGCAGAGCAAATGGTGGAGAGGAAGCGAGAGTGGAGGCGAGTCAACAGGGGCAAGTTGGGCAATCCTCCTCTCCAGTAGTCACTCTGCTAAAGTTGAAAGAGTCGACGGCTCTGCAAGAGGAGCAATTTTCCAGCTTTCCTTAACTTTCAGCTTGGAAGTTAATTACAGCGTTCACCGTGCGAGATCGTTTCTTGCGCATTCTCAAGCCGAGTCTGATTCATTTGCCCCGCATGCCACACGTGTAAGCCACTCCAAGGGCAGGGCAGTTTCGCGAAAGAAAGTATTGAAGTGATAGTATCTAAAATACATCCTTTCGAATATCTTTGTTCCTGTACCGAGATGGATTTCAAGACTTGTTTTCTTTCGCAACAATAGCGAAACGCGTTTACGATGCATCGATCGCATCGCAATACCCTTCCAGGTTTTGGTATCCCGTTCTTGTCGGAAATGAGAGGGCAATGCCCCCATACTCGCTTTCACCACAAAAAAAAAAAAAAAAGTTTGGTGCATTGTTTATACGCTGTACGAAGTAGTTCTTATAAGATTTAATTGTCGGAGGAAGGAGCGATGCTTTGGGCGTTTATAGACGTGTACGTATTAATAAGATAACATATATATATATATATATATATATATATATATATATATACATATATAATCTAAAAGGCAACTACATATATCTTAGTTCTTTACATAAAGGCGCATTACTAAAGGTCTTCCACGTCGAGAAAGTGCAAAGCGCACTTGCGAAGAGTTGTCTTTTAGGTGTTGAATGGCAATCTCAGAATTGTTTACCAAGAAAGGACCATCCTGTGGAAGGATACAATTGTTTTCTTTGGCAGCGGTTATTTGCTTTCATAATTGGTTCAGATCAAGCCTGTGGCAAAGGTGTAGAACCTTGGCATTGACTGGCTAAGTTTTGAAGCCAGACGGGCAGTTGAAGTTCATTTTTGTTTTTGTTTTACAATGGTTACTGTAGTTTTTGGTAAACAACACGAATTCTTCTTTACTGTCGAATTAGCGGGTTTAAATTTTTCTGGTGAAAGTGATTCAATAGTCGATAGATTCAGATTGCTTGCACACTTAGGGCCCGCTTTCAGCAAATCATCAACACAGCCCTCGATGCAACTGTTCCTGTCAATTTCCTTTTTTTTTTACTTTTTTAACATTTTATTAGTCCATTTTATAACCTTTACTATTTGTTATTTTGAACCTTTTTATACAAATTTATACTGGTTTTCACATCAACAACCATTGTAAAAAAAAAAAAAAAAAAGTCCGTCTCCTCGCGGAGCTTTGCTCATTTCCCCCTTCATGGTGCATTTTAGATTAGGATAGCCGGCAAATGTTTTCCTATGTTTTTTATCCTTATTTTTTAAAGACCGGTGCATTTTGGCAGGACGACTCGTGACGAGGCTAAAAACGGTGATTATCGGTGAAAAAAAAATTGCTGCCGCAGCGAGAGTAATTGAGAGCGATTATCTTGAAGAGACGCGTTCTCCAAGGTCAGTGGCCCGGGACCACACTGATTTTGGCGGTGCCTTCCAAGCTTCGGAGCGACCTTCGAATAGACACTGGAAGGATGCAGGATCCACGAGAGAACACTTTTGACGAACCTCTATA